TATAGAATTATATTAAAATTATTATACAATTACAAAAAAAAAAAATTCTCTGCAAAATCAAACCTGATGATATTATTAATCGTAGTATATTTTTATTAATTAAAAAATTTCGAAAGTAATAAAATAAAAAATCAATTATCTACTTCAATTTAAATGTATTTTCAATGTTTAATAAACAACAGAAAATAATTTCGTAGCAAAATGAAAAAAAATTATAAATTAAAGAAACATAAATTAATAATATAATTGCCTTCATATAAGATCTATAAACTATAAGATCTATCAATCAATGAATCACCACAAACCAGTAAATATGAAAGTAAGTTGATAAAATTTTTTTTTTTAAATTACCGAGTTCATATATATGCTATATTATAGTATGCATAAAAACATTTAATAATCTCTATGATTGTAGATTTTTAGTCAGAAACTAGAAAATAGTTTCTAATTAATGATAGTATACACTATACAAAATTTTTAATACGAATAGAATGTAGAGTTTATATATGTGTATATATTATGTATACATTATTTGAAATCCAATAAATATTTATTACTTTTATTTCTTATTTAAATATTATTTTTAAATTAATAACATTACACAAATTATAGTAAATACTTGGATAATATTTGGCTCGGAAAACAGTAGGTATACTATAATAAAATTTAAATCGTGTGAACATCTTGGTGTAATATTTTAATCGAGTGTGTATGATATTATACACACATCATTTCATTCTTTCACTTAAATAACGAGAGATAATTTTAAACTCCACAACATGGCTAAACAATATTTAGTTAATACGAAAGATAAAAATGGCAGGATTTCAGTCACTGTTTAGAAAAAAAAGCACAAAAAGAATTTTTAAACTGAACTTCGATATAAAATATAATATAATGTTATCTAGGTATATCGACAAAAATACGACAATGGCACATGAGTTTTATTAATTATTTTTACCTACAATTTAGGGAGATAATTTTATTAACTTAATAATTGTTCTTAATAAAATAAAATAATTAGAATTAATATTTTGATTTTGGCACATTTTATTAGCATGCGAAAATCACGCTCATTACATATTCACCTACCTATATCTGCTTGATTACACATTATACACTGTGAACATATTCGTAAACAATTTATTAGTATTACAATAGGGTATTGTAAAAGTATATATTGAAAAAGAAAATTMCCTATGGTATCAATTGATTATTGCTATATCTGATATCATGTTCATTGGTTTGTAAAATATTCGTCATAGTTTTTTATCTATATACATTGGAGTCGTTTCTGTTGATGGACGGACGCTATGACTACGGACGGACAAAATCCACTCTACGCAATTATTTTTTACCGGGCCTGAACGTTGCAGATAATAATTTGTGGAAAACAATGTAATATTATGATAAAAGTACAGTCGTAATAATGTTTACTCTCTTAACGTCGTTTACAGAGAAAACCGTATTAGAAACTTCGTGGCACGATTATAAATTATTAATAAGTAATAAATAATAATAATAATACAATTAATTAATACTCTATATTGTAAGTAATATACCTAAAACCGCTACCTATAAGTAATCAAGTCACACGACACGAGTTGCATTTGTTCAGGAAGTACAACAGTTCACGGGTTGCAGCGCAATTGTGCAAGTTTTTCGCGTGGTATCTTTACCCCGTTCGCGATAGGTCGTGAATTATTGAACTCTTACACCCATCATGTTATATACACTTACTATACAAAGTAAAAAGTAGCTATCGCCAATTATGATGAATTAATGACGACTCGGACAGTTTACAAGACCCTCCCCACGCCCACCCCCTAAGCGAATTATTATATTTATATATATTATCGCCGTCACTGCACGTTTCTGAAGAACATGCTGAGCTTCCACACGGCCATGGGCTTTTTGAACACCGTCACGGAACCGTCGTGTTCCATGCCACCCAAAAGGTACACCGCGTATTCTTTGACTTGATGGTGCTCGACGACTGCGCCGCCTCCACCGCCGCCGCCTCGACTCATCGCCGACACACGTCCAGCGCTCGCGGCCCTCGCTGATTTCGTCGACGACCGAACGTCCGAACTCGAGTTGAACGCCGTCGACGAGTTGAGCGCMAGAGTCTTGGGCGGCGCCGGACGGTTCATTTCGCGCATTTCGAACGCGTTATCGCTGTCCTCCAGCAAGCTATCCGGCGGGCTGTTGAGCTTGACGTAATCACCTGCATATTATAAAGACAAGACGTCGAAAAAAACATACTTTAGTCCATATTTTATTAATTTGATATATAAACAAATGTGCAAGTGCAAAAGGGGTGCCCTAAACTCGTATGATTACGTAGAAGTTCAATCAAAATCCATATGCACCCGGCTACAGTGCTACACTACCTATACCTATAGAATATATAAGACGAAGACGTATATATCATTAGGTATCTACAGGTATAAAAACATTGAATTAAAAAAAATGATATATTAAATTCGTTTTAATGTTCTCTCATAATTCCGAATTGTTATGAACCCTGAACAGAGAATTTATTTAAGAAAARTTAGTGTGAATAAAATATTTTCTAAATTAAATTAAAATATAAATTATTATGAAACTACGTGCAACAGTAACAGTAGTTAGACTAGCAAACTTTCAGTCTGCAGAGTAAAACTAGTTTAAAATGAATGCAATCATGAAACTTCTGTAAGTATAATGCATATAAATATATAATGCATACAGTTTATGGTGGGTCAAATTGAAAAAAAAAATATTAAATTAAATTAATAATAACATTGGTTCGTAACGAAAAAGCACGAACTATGATTTTAATATAAATTATCGTTATGTTATATAGCTGTGAATTCAAGTATTTTTTTATATGCGTATATACTATATATATTTAATATTTTACAAACAAGAAATTTCATTATTAATATATTTTAATAAGAATTTGTTAGGGTTATACAATTAAAATAGGCGGACATACCCGCTGGATAACATATTAAAAGTGGTTACGCCACTGTATTTTATTGTCGCTTAGGGACTAATAACCGCACTAAAAATAGCTAAAATACATGACATACATGTTGCTACTTGCTATAGAGGATTTTCAGCTGACGCTTAATACATTTTATTTATAAAACATAAACCTAAATATAATATTGTATGTTAACAAAAAAAAATAATATGACAATAACGATTCGGATGTAAGTGTTGGATAGAAATAAAAATAACATGAAARTATGGTCGTATAGCAGTTTTTAAAGAACGAGTGTAGAAAGATCTAATTTATTTTTTTAAACTTTTTTGGATGCAAACTTTGGTGATAAAAACATTAGCCAACCCCTCGAAAATTTTAATGGGTTTTTACCAATGGCAGATTATGACAGCACATTTGATGTTGCCGCCCGCGGGGACAACTTATATAATATTTACTAACGGGAAAGAGACGAGCTGGTGTTATTATTCATCATGGATATTGGATATAAATATATACATTACACATACATAATATGCCGGGTCAGTGGCATAGCCAAGGGGCACACAGCCTTTGCCAAAATTTCAGGAAAATTTTAAAACGCTTTCAGTGTTCTGTAAACGTATTACCAATGAGTATCATACAACGATGTTACGAATAAGCGACATTATTGTGTATTAAAATTGTTATTCATAGTAAAAGTCTAAAATGTAATATACCCACAAGCTACCAAACTCATGGGGGATCTTGKTTGAGTCTTTCCTATATAGAAAAAATTATCAGCCCTCCTCCTAAATCAAAATTCTTAACTTAAAGAACTAAAAACATTTGTTGGCCTTCTATSAGCCCAAAAGTATTCGTATAGGGCTCAATTAAATATTACCGATTATTATATTATGTATAATTTACAGTTTACACACACCACAGTACATATAGATATACCAACCTTTGGATATGGCGTTCTGTATGTCGGACACCATGTAGTTTGGGTTGGAAAAGCACATGGGCCCGTCGCCGCTGTTTGGCGACTGGTGTACAGTCTCGATGCTGACGTAACCGGAAGTGATGTCTCCTGGTTCCTCTGGCGTGCTGTACGGGTTACCGAATCGAGCGGACGCAGAACTAGTCATCGGGTAGCTGCGTCGGTTGAGCGTTTTGTTGAGCGTCGACGACCCGGACGACATTGGCCCGTTGGGGTGGAACCGCATGTGTACGGACCCGAAATCATGATCGAACTCGACGCGCGGGCTTGGCGCCTCCTCGCCCTCCAGATATACGAGCTTGGTGGCCTCGACCGGGGTCAGGGCCACGCCGAAATTGGGCACGGACATGGGGTCTCGGGGCATCCTGCAYGGCGGGAACGACGATTTGTAGCCGGGCGGAGACGCGTTCGACACCACCGGCGATATCAGCGACCGGGCGATAACATTCGCYGACTGCGACTTGACCATGTTTTGCTGTTGTTGCTGCACGTGTGAAGCGTCGGCAGACAACACGCTGTCCGTGCTGCTCAGAACGCTGTAGGTCTTGTTGTGTGCCAGCCGGTACAGGTTGAGTTGCGACAATTTCGATATCTCTTTTAGGATGTTCACGTTCGAGCCACCCAAAGACGACGTCCGAGACTCGGATCGGCATTGGTGATGCCACTGATGCGAGTGGCCGCCGTGATCACCGTTGCCGCTTTGCTGTTGCCTGTCCGCAGATCGGCCGCTCCTGGATCGCCGGGAGACGATGGGTGACTGCACGCCGTTCTCGCGGTTGCTTTTGGTCGTCGAAATCGACGTTGTTTCCGATACCGTCAGTGTCACAGCTTCACAGATCGGTGGAGGCTGCGGGTAGGTGGTGTGCACTTTTTCCCAAGTCTCGGTAGCTGTAAGCAGAATATAGAAATGTTCGTAAGGGCGAGGATGCGTACTATTTGCTATGTATACAAATTTAATATGGATAAGAGAGTTATTTTTTTATTTATTTTTTTTTTTTGTGATCAGCACATATTATTCATGTAATAGGCCTCCTTTTTGGCTTGCCAAGTATTAAAAAGAAAACACCAGTATGTGTTTTAGATTTCATGGATATTGAGTAAGTGTTTGTATTTTTACTTTCGAAATACATTTTTTTTATGATCCAACGTTTGAGAGTATACGGAACAACTAACCTAACCCACCAAATACCAAGTGAAAATTGATAACAGTAATATTAATTATATATATATATATATATTTTTTTTTTAAATACATTTATTTTAATTTGTACAATCTGTAACAGAAATTTTCAATAAGCACAATGGAGGGTTGTATAGTAGGACGTGGTTGGCTTGGTTGAAGAAGCTATTCAGTAATAGTACTTCATGGCGCGAGATAGTTGTGATTAGTGGGCTATAGTTAACAAGTCCACTTAATAGATCACGACACCACCTACGTTTTAAACGTCGGCCAGGGTCGCCCTGGATTGTTTGTGAAGAGAGGTTTTTAATGAGGGGGTTTCATATTTATTGTATATAATTTATACATTTTACAATATTGTTGTTTATAGTATTTTTATCCATATACGTGTATATATATAAGTTGTGTAGGTGTAGAACCACAGTTCCTACAGTATGCTATATATAGGAGCTACTTATACTGTTTACTTTGTGGTATCATAATAAGCCGTAACGAGTACAGATGACMAGATGAAACRGTAGCTGCTGTTCTATACACAAAACACAACCGTAGTTTGTAAATTTGTAATATTTAAAACCTCGAGTTACGAAATAATATTCTTAATCGTTAAACATCAACATAACAATAATTCATATGAACCGATGAAACTATATAATTTCCTTCGAAATATTAAAAAGAAAAAGTTTAAGAATCTAAGATCCTCACTTACATAATTTATAATATAMGTTKTATAGTATTACCTATAGGTACTTATATAATATAAAATATGTATAATTCTGTTGTAACTGATTTAAAGATCTCTGATAACTAATTTTACTGGTTTATTTTATAAGATTTGTTATAAAATTGATTTTGTCTTGTTAAATTTAATTATATAATAAAATATAGAAAAATATAAGAAGTATATGGCCAGTCAACGTGTTGGTACCAATAACTAAGAAACTAAAATTAAGACCCTAATTACTCATATATAATACATTTTAAATTTAGGTTATATTTTTCTTTTTAATCTGACTATTTGTACATTTTTTTATTTTACGATAGGTACATAATACATTATTAATAATTCAACACAGAATAAAAATATGTGTCAGCTAAGTTGACACATATAGGTATAATTAGGATACTTATTCACTAGTTAGTTGTTGTCATATTTGATATCATGTCATTTTAACAGAATAAACATAAAAAGTAATTTAAAACTGTCTTAATTTTTTCATATTCATTACCTRCAAGTGATTTAATCCTAAATACAACACTTAGTATATTATAYGAATTATTACCAAAATAAAACTTCCACAAATCATTACTAATCTGCCCTCCTTTTTTTCCACCAAAAATAATCATAGAACCCATAACTTTGGAAGCACTGTGGCCATGCAATAAACCTGGATTTACTTTAGTCTTCAATACACTCCATTTTTTCTTTACTGAAACAAATAGTAATTTTATTAATATGTAGTTCACATTATGAGAATTTTGATGAAATAATATATTTTTCTAATAAACTAARCATATTGCGTTAATTTATAATTATGAAAATAGGCAAAGTTTTAGTATTATAGGACTTTTATGATGAACAACAAAGAATAAGAATAATATAATAAATGTTAGTATTTCATCTCACTATAGAAATTAATAAATTAAAATAAATCAAAATCACCATTTGAATCTAATTAAATAACTGACAATATTTTATTACAATTTAATAATATAGCCTATATATAAATACTGACCAAAATCAAATTTCCACAAATCTGATCGTTCATGTAAATCGGTCATTCCCCCATACACCCACATAACATCGTCATGTATAATTGCTGAATGTTTGTGTCTCGCTGGAGGTAATACTCTTCCTTGAGAAAGTAAATGCCACGAATCAGTATCTAAAATAAAAATAATTTTAGTTATTTTCTGAAGTGAATTTAAAAAAAAAAATGAAAATAAAAAATATAACTATAGCAGCTTGAGAAAATAAATATTTATAACTTATATATTTTTAAATTACCGAAGTGGTAAGCCCACATTTCATTCGTGGATCCTTTTAGGTCCCTATATCCTCCATAAATAATCATTGAATTTCTGTAGACTAAYGCCGTATGACCTCTTCTGCCTTTTGGTACATTTGAACCGGATTTTCCTTTGACTTTTTTCCATTGATTATCCTATAAYATTAAAAGAAACTATTTTCAATAACGTGTTTGAATTATAGTATACTATTTACATTGCTAAACAGTAAACCTATATACTATTGTTTTCAAAACCCATTAACTACCGACGTTACAGAGTGTTGGTTAATACATAATATTTGCTGCGGTTTAATGTTCTGAAAGAGTCGATGTAAATACCATCGTTTCCCTCGTCCGCATTATAACGCCAACCAGTATAATAATAACGTTCCCCTCAATGCGCATGCAGCAGTTGCATCGACATTACGAGGGTGCGTTTATTAATAAATACCATTTCATTTTATAGCGCTCAAAATTTAAGCACCTCAAAATGCAAAGTTTGTAATTTATAATAATATAGGTATAACGTATAAAACGCATTTAAAGCAGCACGTTTWTAAAATTGATCCATTAAAATTAAATGAACTCAAACTCAACAGCTGATGTTTAGTTTTCGCACATATTACAAAAAAAGCAAAATTTTATATAATTAAACATTTTTATCAATATGATTTATTATTTTTTTTTAAATTACT